GAATATTCCAAAAAATCCTGGAATGTTTCCGAAATTTACTGGAAACTTTCCACCTTTTTGCAACCCTATTCTCAATACACAGCTCTGTTTCGCTGTATTCAGATGTCACCATTAGTCTTGCATTATTATGTGAACTTGTATTTTATTTTGACCATTAGTTATGGCTTCAGTTTACACAACTTTAGGTGAAGTTTCTCACCTGCACCTAATGAATGGTCTCATGCATGTTCATAAATGGAACCAGTGATGCATGCATTTATTCAGGCTTTGTGCTCTGAATCTTGTTCTGTCCGTTGAACGCCCAGTTGTGCTTCTTCTCTGACGTCTCTGCTGCTCGTGTGTTTTCAGGAGCGTGCGGGCCGTCACTGTGGAGGTCTGCGGGTGCTCAGCTCTTACTGGGTGGGTGAAGACTCCACATACAAGTTCTTCGAAGTGATCCTCATCGACACCTTCCACAAAGCCATCAGACGCAACCCCGACACGCAGTGGATCACCAAGGCTGTGCACAAGCACAGGGAAATGCGCGGGCTCACGTCTGCCGGCAAGAAGAGCCGTGGTTTGGGCAAGGGCCACAAGTTCCACCTCAATCAGCAGGCAAGAAGAGCCGTGGTTTGGGCAAGGGCCACAAGTTCCACCTCACTATTGGCGGCTCTCGGCGCGCAGCCTGGAAGAGACGCAACACCCTGCAGCTGCACCGTTACCGCTAAACAGCGTGTGCTGCAACTGTACATTCACCCAAATAAAGTACCTTTGTATGCTCACATCATGTGTCTTTATTATTGAGAGCTTGTAGATGAGCAGGGCTGTGAAGACAAGATGTTCTCGAGATGTCTTCATGGGAGAGTTTGAGTATTAGGTGAGGTTTGCTCAACTCGTCCTGGGGTTGAAGATAAATAGGAAACCCTTAGGTTGCCAGTTTTGCCTGTGTTTGTCTCTAAATCTCAATATTTTCACATCAAAGCGACGTGATCTATATGCAGCATGAGTGTGCAGGTAATTACAATCACTGGTATTCATAGCAGTGGCACTATTGGGAGTGTGATATTTATGCTTTCATACGACGGTTCTATAAACAAGTATCTTAATTTGAAACGCAGCTCAGCCAATCATAAAAATAATGATCACAATTTGGTAAAACTTTAACTCTGTCTTTGAGGACGAGAGTAATGATCATTGTGATGTTTTAGATACTTTTTTTTAATATATATCTATATAGTAATACATATTTGTAAATATTACGTGAACGGAAAAAACTGCTTAGCTTTCTGATTGCTTGCCGTGATCTACTTTGTGTTGGTATGACAAACTGTTAACAAATAGTGTAACACTTAGAATAGCAGTCATCTGTGAATATATATTTTTAACCCTTTCTATAACTATTTGTTCTATAGGGAATCTCAGAACTGATTTGCCCGTCATTATTTTACAGTAATGACACATTTTTCAAATAGATGAATTAAGAATATCAGATGTATTTTATGTGTTCTGCATAATTCAGATGGCCGTTAGATTAATGGTGCCGGAGGGCTACTTGCTGCTTCTCTGCCCCAGCAAAAAAAAAAAAAAAACAGTTTATGTTTTCTACATACAAAAAAAGGATTCCATTCAAATTGTTCTGTTGGGACTATTCAAGTCACATGAATGAGAAATGTGCAGCTACATCGACGCCACAGCTGTCAGTTTATGTAGAATAATGTCTGAATTTGTGAGATCTGACTAATATGTAGAGCAGGCTTCCTTAAATCTTGTCCTGGAGGGCCAATGCGCTGTAGAGTTGAGCTCCAACCCTGATCAAACTCGCCTACCTGTGATTGTCTAATGATCCTGAAGACCATGCTCAGGTGTGTTTGATTAGGGTTAGAGCTAAACTCTGCAGGACGGCCAGTTAGAGACCCCTGTAATGGACATACCCTCATTCTCACTTGTTTACAGAAAAGCAGAACACAGTTTTGCTCAATATCACTGCAAACGACATCTTCTGAACTCTGTGAATAAACTTAAACATGTTAAACAATGTTGTAGTAATGTCACTCTTCAAGATCTCAAACACACATTCCCTGTATATGAGTGTGTGTGTGTGTGTGTGTGTGT